AATAAAGCTTACCTATAGGTAAAATGAATATCTCCTAAACGTACACCATTTAGGAGATAATGTATTGAGCAGCAGCTGTGGATTTCACAGGCTCATGTGCTCTGAAGTAATGGCATACAGTGTTGCTCCTTCAAAGCTGTGTGCCGCGGCTGAGACTCTAGCGCGCATGTGCGAGAGTGACGTCATTGCGCCTCGGCCAACACCGGGTGAAGATGGAAGCCTCCTCAGCAGTGACAGCTCATTTAAAGGTAAGTCTTTCATAATGTGCTAGTATGTGATGCATACTAGCACATTATAGCTTTGCCTTACAGGGAGGGTTTTATTTTTTTTTTCCCCTCAAGTTTACTACCAAAAGAAATACGTGTAAAGCCTCTGCCAGGAAGGTTCTGCAAATGATCAATGTCGCTTTGAGGTCATCACAGAGGACAAGGGGGGACTCTTTACATCTGGAGGAAAAGAAATTGAATCTCCAAACTCAGAAAGGTTTCTTCACAGTGAGAGCTGTGAAAATGTGGAATAGACTTCCTCAGAGTTTGTTTTGGCCAGCTCAGTGGATTGCTTTAAAAAAAAAAAAAGTCCTGGATTCTTTTTTGGATACACAGAATTTAACTGGATACTAACATTTAGGGCTCATGTACACTGCAGCTGATAAACTGACGTTCAGGACCTTTTCTGCGTTTTTTTCAGCAGCCCCTGAACTCTCCCTAAGGTTTTCCTATGTGTTCATTTACATATAGTCGTTTACAGGCAGTTTAGTTAACAGTCGTTTAATTGCATTCAGGAGTAGATTTTACCGGCGTTTCAAACACCAAACACTTGTAAACGTGGTTAAGCGCGTTTATAAGCGTTTCTGTTTAGAAGTGTTTTTTGTCTGGTCCATATCCAGAGCACAATTCACTAAGCGGTATCCTACTGCCCCAAGTACGCGGTAGGATACTGCATAGCATTTAAAAAACAAAAAAATAAATAAATTTGAACCCACTAAAAAAGGCTACTAAAATATTGCATTATTTTATCAAGTCATGCAGAATTTTAGTAGTGAAAAGCATGCAACATGTTTCAGCTGTCAGCGGAATTCCCACTGACAGCTGAATGTAAAAGAAAGAATTGCCGGCAATTTAAAAAAAAAAAATAAATAAAAAAACGGCGTGGGGTCCCCCTCCCATCCATACCAAGCACTTTGGGTCTGTTATGGCAAGGGGGCCCCCAGATCCCGCCCCCCCCCCGTGAATAAGTATGAGGTACATGGTACCACTACCCATTCTCAAGAAAAAAAAAAAAAGCTGTAGTGTGAAAAAAGACAGGAGTCATTCTTTGACAAGTCCTTTAATAAAAGAATGTCCCCCAAAGATCCAATGTCAATCACGATATCCGCCACTACGGGAAAAAAAAAAAAAAAAAAAAGCTCCACTACCGACGCTACATTGGGGGACATTCTTTTATTAAAAGACTTGTCAAAGAATGACTCTGTTTTTTTTTTCACACTACACCTTTGTGAATGAGTAGCGGTACCATGTACCCCATACTCATTCACATGGGGGAGGGCGGGATCTGATAAGCCCCCCGCCCGCAGACCCCCACAACCACAGCCCAGGGTTGTGGGGAAGAGGCCCATCCCCATCAATATGGGGACAAGGTGCTTTAGGGGGTGGGGGGAGCTCCCCCTACCCCAAAGCACCCCCCAAGTTGAGGGCATGTGGCCTGGTATGGTTCAGGGGCTCGCTCACCCCCCTTCTTTCCTGACCTGCTGGGGTGCATGCTCAGATAAGGGTCTGGTATGGATTTTGTGGGGAACCCCACTCAATTTTTTTTTTTTTTTAATTTTGGCGTAGGGCTTCCGCTCAAAATCCATACCAGACCCAAAGGGCTTGGTATGGATGGGAGGGGGTACCCCACACACCGTTTTTTTTTTTTTTTAAATTATTTTCCCAGAAGTCTGCTCTAAGATACAAGTCAGATTTTGGGCATACTTTACAAAACAATTTATTCCCAAAGAGAAATCACAGCTAAAGGGATGCAGACCCTGCCACTTTGCTCATTAGAACTCTGCAAGGCAGCTGATTGATCATCATAAATTTTGTCCCATTCACATTGACTTTACACAAGGACACAAACTGCTACAAAATAACAAAAGGTAGGAATCTGCAATAAAGTTTGTTACAACCCTTGTAATGTACAGAGATCGCCCAGAGGGGAATGTTTTTCTTGCAGTAAAAGTGAAAGTTACTCTTTAGGGTTGAAAGTCAAATACAACAACTATTTCTGCGCTCTTGTGATCCTCTAACACCTAATATGTTATACTGTATGGCTCCAAAGGGAAACGATGATCACAATACTCCAAAGACATTGATTCGGAGTCTGAAAGTGGTTCTAAAGGCAGAAGATTTGTGTTTAACTAAAAGTGGAGCTCCACCCAAAAGGGGAAGTTCCGCTTTAAGGACTGCTCCCCCACTCCCCGTTAAGGATTGGCACCTTTAAGGAGCGGGTGGGGGCGCGGGGGGGGGGGGCGAGCAGATAGCCGAAATTGACAGGTACCCGCTTCCACTGCGATCGCCTAGGTAGTCGAAATCAAAAAATGTCCTCCCCTCCTTCCCCTATAGTCTTCTGGGACACGTGACAGGTCCCAGAAGACTACGGGACCATTCAGAAAGCGCAGCACTACTCGCGCATGCGCAGTAGGCACCCAGCTGTGAAGCTGCAAGCTGGGTGCCCACACTAAAGATGCCAGCACAGAGGACACAGGCTACTGAAATGGCTGCGGGGGAGAACACCGCGAGATCAAGGGACAGGTAATTGGCTGTTTTTTTAAAAGTCAGCAGCTAAAGTTTTTGCAGCTGCTGACTTTTTTTTTTTTTTTTTTTAATTTTCACGTGTTACTGCATTCTATGCTTTAAGGTAAAAAAAAAGGAACAAAAACCTTCTGCAAGCAGCTTCACCCCCCACCTTATACTTACCTGAGTCCAATCTCAATCCAGGGATCTCATCCAGGTTCTCTCGACTCTCTCCCACCTCATTGGCTCAGACAGCAGCGGGAACCATTGGTTCCTGCTGCTGTCAATCACAGCCAGTGACACGGGATCAGGTAGTGGGGCTGTGTCTCGCTGTCTGTGTCTATAGACGCAGACAGCAAAGCTTGGGAGCTGCTTGCTGAGGGGGCATTTGCTGGTAGGGTGAGGAGGCAGAAGCGAGGCATAGGACCCGAGAAAAGGAGGATCGGTGCTGCTCTGTGCAACACCACTACACAGAACAGGTAAGTATGATGTTTGTTATTTAAAAGGACAGAAAAATACTTTAAAAAATACTTTATAGGAAATAAGTGACACGTTTCTTAATTACCAGGATCTGTTCTTACGACTTACTTTTAGGGCCCTGTGGCATGTTCCATCCAGATCGGCAGCACTCTCCCTGTGGAGGTCTAGAGTTGTAATGGAACTCAACGGGCCAACATCATCAATCACAACCTAGATGCCACAAGCAAAGGCTCAGCCACGCTAACCACAATGAATGCCTTCTAAATACACATGTACTCAGCCACTTCACTCAGCAAAGCATTCCTCCCAGAAATCACACGACTAAATTCCCTTCTGGTCGCAGTGATGAAAGAGTGAAATAAAAAGGCCAGCACATCATGAGATAGCCAATCGGCCACTCAAAACCTAATTATCCCCCCCTCCCTCCAGTCCCCTCGAAGGACAAACTACTCGGAAAGAAAATTAATTTCACCCAATAAGTTTTGCCCCTCTTGGGTGCCAGTCAGTTTGTTCCGTTCCAGTTACATTTATTGTTCATTCGCAATAGTGAAAAAAAAGCCAACTACCAACAAGGAGAACCATTTTCCGGACTCTGCACTGATCTTAACAGAATGTTGACTTTTTCACCCTGACATAACACAAAGTTCTCTGACACGCTCTAAATACAAGGGGTGTGTGCCCTGCGATAACTGCTTCTGCCAACAAGTGTACCTGTCACTAGGACACAGCAGGAAGAGAGGCATTATAGACATCCAATACCATAACATTTTGTACTTTAGTAGGATCTCATGACTCATTACTATATAATATATAGTTGGCCAATATCTTGTAAAGAAATGGCTACAGTCACAAAAAAGATCCCTGCAGGGGCCACAGCTTGGTAAATATGGGGGCTTTTCTGTGCATCTACTCCATAATCATTAGTAATTGTCATACTATATGGCACTTTTGCCCTTAAAGCAACGGTGGTCAACTTTCTTGATATGGAGGGTCTCATGAGCGGCCTCTGATATCACCAATGGGCGGCACATAAAACGCGGTACAAGAGGTGGCCAGAGACGGCAGACGCGGTACAAGAGGTGGCCAGAGATGGCAGACGCGGTACAAGAGGTGGCCAGAGACGGCAGACGCGGTACAAGAGGTGGCCAGAGACGGCAGACGCGGTACAAGAGGTGGCCAGAGACGGCAGACGCGGTACAAGAGGTGGCCAGAGACGGCAGACGCGGTACAAGAGGTGGCCAGAGACGACGCAGACGCGGTACAAGAGGTGGCCAGAGACGGCAGACGCGGGTACAAGAGGTGGCCAGAGACGGCAGACGCGGTACAAGAGGTGGCCAGAGACCAGAGACAGCAGACGCGGTACAAGAGGTGGCCAGAGACAGCAGACGCGGTACAAGAGGTGATTAGAGACTGGACATGGCATAGGAGATGTCAGACTACAGGCATGTTTAAAGAGATAGACAGTGCAGACATGGAAGAGATGGTCAGAGACTGCAGAAATAGTTTATGAGATGTCAGAGACTGCAGACATGATTCAAGAGATGGTCAGAGACTGTGGACATAGTACAGGAGACTGCAAATCTGTGAACATGCTGTAGGAGATGAAGACTGGACAAACGCTTCAAGAGACAGTCAAACATTATTACAAGAGACTGCTAGAGATCAGTGCTATAACAGGGCAATAGTGAAACACAGTTTAGTGTTTGCAGGGGCCCCTGAAAGCTGCACAGAAAGTGCCAAAAGGGACACATGTGGGCCCCCAAGGCTTGTGGCCCTACAGCTGTTGCAAAACTACAAGTCCCATCATGCCTCTGCCTTTGGGAGTCATACTTGTAACTGTCAATCTTGCAATGCCTCATGGGACTTGTTTGGCAACAGCTGGAGGGCCGCCAGTTTGACACCCATGGCATAGACAGACTGATTTTAGTAACATTTTAAGTCACACCACCACTAGAGGGCACTACTTGAAGATGGAAGACCTGTTCTACATTGAGCAGCTGCAGGATATACTCAGAGCCAGGAGGCTGCTGGCTGATTTTTGGAAAATGGACTTCTATACAGTAAAGTAACCCGTATTGCGTGCAAAGGCTGCAAGGACAAATACAGTGACTTTGTACAATTGGCATCATATGCAAGAAAAACCTGTCCTGGGGCCTGATTTGCTGTGATGCATTGTGGTAGGAGCAGAAATGTACTTGGGTTTTATGATCTTGATGCAGGTGCACTGTGGATGTGTGTTGGGGTGTCACACAAAAAGAACGGAATTGCAATGTACCAATGGGAGTTGCATAAAAATGCACATTACAAGCGTTCAATGGTGTCACTGCAGCCCCAGACTGCCAAGTCTACGGAAGGTAGGCACAGAGTGATGACCAAGCCTGAATGCCATGATGTGGGGGGGCTAAGCCATTCAGAAGTCTGTATATACAAAGGATATTGGGGGGCAGAAGAGACACTTGGATTTGTTGGAATGCAGCTTGTCACTGTCACATTTTATATAGTCAGACATTTCCAAATGAAGTCAACTGACTTTACGGTCATAGCATCCACTCAATATCACGCGGAGTTTTTTTGCATGAAAGCCTTGAAGTCAAATATCTATTACAGCGGTCACTGGCGCAGATAACCGCGTCCGATTTCCACACAACAGACCTATAGGCTCCTGCCTGAGTCCATGCTGCAGTTCATCAATCCCGAGAATCAAGGGAGCGAGATAGAACATGTTTATTTAGATGACTTAAGGTCTTTATTTCCCTACAGTGGATGAACAAACAGTAATTAGTGAGGACGCAGCCACGCCATTATGTGTGTGAGCAATGTCAAACAGCCAATCTTACGTGGGGGGAGTTCTCTCTCTATTCCACACGCACTTGACCGTGACTTGAGTCAGGCAGCTCTCATCTAGGGAAGACGTTGTCACCCAATATCAAATCAAGTTCTTAAAGTAGAACTCCAGGCACAGGCAATTTAAATGTGTTACTAAACCCACAACAGGAAAATCAGTCTGTATATGCTGTAAAGCATGCTTGTTATACTCACTGTGGAACCTAAGGGGTTAACCCTCTGCATTGTGTATAAACACTATTTGATCCTGTCTTCTCTGATCCTCCCCTTCTTCCACAGCCCCTACTCCATCCACTGATAGAACTGAGCCTTGGGGACAAGCTGCACATTATTACTACTATACAGGATTTATATAGCACCAACATTTTGCTCAGCGCTGTACATTATAATGGGAGACAATACAATAACAATACAGTGCGATACACGAGGGGTTCGAGGGCCCTGCTCCTTGGAGCTTACAATCTAGGAGGGAGGGGATAGTGGTACAGGAAGAAATAGCTGTGGGGGATGGAGTGATAGGAAGAGTGGAGGAGTTCAGTAATTAGCTGAGGCTGGGGTAGGCTTCCCTGAAGGTTTTCAGGGTGCGCCTAAAAGGTGAGGAGAGTAGGTGATAGTCTGATGGATTGGGGGGTAGGGAGTTCCAGAGGATGGGGGAAGCCCTGGAGAAGGGCATGGGAGGAGGAGACCAGGGAACTGCACATGCTCAGTTTGATGTGTATTGCTAGAGAGTTTTTTTTTTTCTTTTCTTGGGAGAGTCCATGTGATCAGTACAGGACCAATCAGCACTGTCCAGACAGAGGGTCAGGGATTATGCAGCCTCACAGGACAATTAGGGGGAGAATGAATACTCCTCCTACAAGCTACAACTAGCGCTCTACTGGACACTGCTCTAACTGCTGATGAGAAAAGGTATTTAGTAGTTTACATTTACTAACATAATTGCATTTCCATGTTCTATGTACTGTGGGAGACCAGAAATAGTGAATGCAGGGCCCTGGGTTTTAGTAACACTTCCAATTTACATATATTCCTTAAAAAGCACAAAGGATTTACGTACATCCACTTTTGAGCATCAAATGTCTTTGAAAACCCCAATAGCTTGTCAAGTAGCATTGACATCACTGTGCTGTACATAGCCTGTGCAGAGAAAAGAGCTGTGGGGGAGGCTCAGCAGGCCCCACCCACTACAGGCTGCCTGCAGAAAATTACAAGAGGGGTGGAGTTAAGACCAGTCACCCTGCACAAGGACAGAGAGCGGCAGTGATCGGTCTGTATTACAGGAAGCTCCTGTGCAGAGGCCACGTTTTCACACTGGATTACTGCACAGATCTGGAAGAATAGTACAAACCACCAAGATTAAAGGAAAAATACACATGAAACAATATTTTCTTATTCTGGAGTTCAGCTTTAAATTCTGGCTTAAAAGAGAAGCCCTAGTGAGAAAACATGGAGGATGCCATTGCTGAGCCCTTTCCTTTCCTCTCCTATTTTCAGCTTAATGCGGAGCTCCACCCAAAAGGTGAAGGTCAGCTTCAAGGCCTTATCCTCTGCTCCCCATTAAGGATTGGAACCTTCTGGGAGTGGGTACCTAATTTTGACAGGTACCCATTCCCAATTCTCCTGCGATCACCTAGGAAGTGGAAGTTGTCCTCCTCCCCATAGTTTTCTGGGACATATGACAGGTCTTAGAAGACTACGGGACCATTCACATGGTGCAGTGCTAATCGCGCATGCACAGTGGGCACCCCGCTGGGAAGCCGCAAGCTGTCACTGTCACAGCCAGGAGCCCACACCTAAGATATAGGCACCGGGAGAGGACGGCTGGTGAAATCAGCTGCGATGAGGACACCGCTGGACTGAGGGTCAGGTGAGCGACTGTTTTTTAAAAAGTCAACAGCTACAGTTTTTGTAGCTGCTGCCTTATTTTTTTTTTTTTAGGTTTTGACTGGAGCTCCCCTTTAACGTGGTTGTAAACCCTTACCTATACCCAGTGAAGTGACTGGCCTCAGGTGATAAAGAGATGAAACAAATCCTACATAGGTTGTACCTGTTTATCTGCAGTCTTCTCTAAATCTGTTCAAAGCCCAGAATTTATACAGCTTGTCTGAGTTCAGAGAAAAGGGGTGGGGAGCTAAAATTACACACTGTAGAGCTCAGTGAGGAGAGCTCTGACAGCTGATTGGAGGGAAGGGACACAAACCCCCTTCAATGGAGAAACAGCAGAAATGACACTTAGTTCACTTAACTGAGTCAAGTACACACTATAGAGGGATATACTTTGTTCATATGTAATGTCTGAGGTTTACAACCACTTTAAGGCCCAATTCTGGGCTCTAAGCTCCCCCTCTTCTACCTTTGAAGTCATCATCAGCTATAGGTTATGTTCTTTTTACGTACCTTTTACTGATGCCTAACAACTGTGACAAAATGGGTCTCCAAGTTCAGTCTTCCACTGGTGGTGGTCCTGGATGGTGCTGAGAGTAGGCTGACATGACATTGGTGCAACACTCTGCCTCAATATGCTGCATGTAGGGCCCTCCTGTTTAGGTGGCAAAGCTATGATGCCCTGCGTTCAAGTATTGTCTCGGTTTACCAAAATTCCTTACAAAAGTCTGAGGGCATCTTGGGGCACAGTAGAGGTACTGTTGCACGGTCTTTTTTTTTTGTTAAACTTTATTGAAGCATCACAAAATTACACTTCATTAGAGTCTATGCAAAGTAAGGGGTTTTTTAGTGCATAAAAATGCAGCATGTCTTCGTGTTATGCAGTACACCGCATGTCACCGCAGCACTGTGGTGTGAAAAGGGCATATAGAAAATAAATGTTTTCTGTGTTCCCCAGCATTGAGCTCTATGCAAAGCATTGGTCATCACAGTGGTTAATACTTCTGCTTGGCAGCACTAGAGTTGTCGCTTTTTATCCGAACCTCAGCACTATCTGCTCGTCTGCTCGGAGTTTGCATGTTCTCCCTGTGCCTGCGTGGGTTTCTGGATACTCCGGTTTCCTCCCACACTCCAAAGACATGCTGGTAGGTTAATGGTCTCCAGTCTAAATTGACCCTAGTATGTGTATGTATGAATGTGAGTTAGGGACCTTAGACTGGAAGCTCCTTGGGGGCAGGGACTGATCTGAATGTATGTATGTAAAGTGCAGCGTAAATTGACGGCACTATATACAGGTGAAACTTGAAAAATTAGAATATCGTGCAAAAGTTCATTTATTTCAGTAATGCAACTTAAATGGTGAAACTAATATATGAGACTCATTACATGCAAAGCAAGATAGTTCAAGCCGTGATTTGTCATAATTGTGATGATTATGGCTTACAGCTCATGAAAACCCCAAATCCACAATCTCAGAAAATTAGAATATTACATGCAATCAATAAAACAAGGATTGCACATAGAACAATATTGGACCTCTGAAAAGTAGAAGCATGCATATGTACTCAGTACTTGGTTTGGGCCCCTTTTGCAGCAATTACTGCCTCAATGCGGCGTGGCATGGAAGCTATCAGCCTGTGGCACTGCTGAGGTGTTATGGAAGACCAGGATGCTTCAATAGCGGCCTTCAGCTCTTCTGCATTGTTCGGTCTCATGTCTCATCTTTCTCTTGGCAATGCCCCATAGATTCTCTATGGGGTTCAGGTCAGGCGAGTTTGCTGGCCAATCAAGCACAGTCATCCCATGGTCATTGAACCAGGTTTTGGTGCTTTTGGCAGTGTGGGCAGGTGCCACGTCCTGCTGGAAAAATGAAGTCCGCATCCCCATAAAGCTCGTCTGCGGAAGGAAGCATGAAGTGCTCCAAAATCTCCTGGTAGACAGCTGCGTTGACTCTGGACTTAATGAAGCACAGTGGACCAACACCAGCAGATGACATGGCTCCCCAAATCAACACAGACTGTGGAAACTTCACACTGGACTTCAAGCATCTTGAAGTGTGTGCCTCTCCATTCTTCCTCCATACTCTGGGTCCTTGGTTTCCAAATGAGATGCAAAAGTTGCTCTCATCAGAAAAGAGGACTTTGGACCACTGAGCAACAGACCAGGTCTGTTTTTTCTTTAGCC